CTGCTCACCCCCCGCCCTGCTCACTCCCCCCCCCCAGCCCTGCTCCCCAGCCCTGCTCACTCCCCCAGCCCTGCTCACTCCCCAGCCCCTGCTCACTCCCCCCCCAGCCCTGCTCACTCCCCCCCAGCCCTGCTCACTCCCCCCCAGCCCTGCTCACTCCCCAGCCCTGCTCACTCCCCGCCCTGCCCACTCCCCCGCTCACTCCCCCTCCTCCCCAGCCCTGCTCACTCCCCCCCCCAGCCCTGCTCACTCCCCCCCAGGCCCTGCTCACTCCCCCCCCCAGCCCTGCTCACTCCCCCCCAGCCCTGCTCACTCCCCAGCCCTGCTCACTCCCCCCAGCCCCTGCTCACTCCCCCAGCCCTGCTCACTCCCCCCCCCAGCCCTGCTCACTCCCCAGCTGCTCATCCCCCCAGCCCTGCTCACTCCCCCCAGCCCTGCTCACTCCCCCCCCAGCCCTGCTCACTCCCCCCAGCCCTGCTCACTCCCCCCAGCCCTGCTCACTCCCCCCCCGCCCCAGCCCTGCTCACTCCCCCAGCCCTGCTCACTCCCCAGGCCTGCTCACTCCCCAGCCCCGCTCACTCCCCGGCCCTGCTCACTCCCCGGCCCTGCTCACTCCCCGGCACTGCTCACTATTCACTGCTCACATAACACAGCCCAAAGCCATGGTACACAGTTCAGTAACCCGACATAGCAGAGATCACAACAACAATGGAGTTGACATCGTGATCAGGTCATACCCTCAATTCATCTCAGAATAAAGGACAGATGGACAGGTGGTTAAAGAGGAGGGAATGTACAAGAGAAGTTTACGAAAAGTTGAGCAACACTGTGAGGTCAAACCCCAACGATTTATTATAACATTCTTTTAACACATTCATAAGATACATTTAATCAACATTCTACAATATTAATATTTCCTGATATATGGACAGGGAATGTTCATATTTAGATCTGTTGTATTTTACAGATTTACAATACCATTTACTGTGTAGTCACATCAGGAAGACGTCTCAAAGCCCTTTACACAGTGGCCTGAGCACTCGAGATGACCAAAAGCAGAGTCAAAAGAGTAAACCTCGAGATGGGGTTTAAAAGGTGTGTAGGGAGGGGGTGAGTGTGGGGGGGCTCTGGGATTGAGGTATGGAGTGTGGGAGCAAAGCTCGTCCACTGTGAGATGGTGTCACTAAGTGTGAACATTACAGATGGTGAAAAGACAAAGGCTGAGGAGAGAGTCGGGAGGAACACAGGTGTGACTGTGCCCTCGATTCCTGCCCACCTGCCCGGCTCAGCAACATGACTGCCAGCCCACCAGCGAGAGGGGGAGACTGGACTTGGGCATTGCAGTGCCAAGCACGGCTCCTTGCCAGCTCAGCTGTGTGTGAAGGTTTTGTCACAAAAGCTCTTTTTATTATGTTCAGCCAAAATGTCAAAATCCAGAATCTGTGACAAGAGGAACCAAACCTTGTATTTTATGTTCAACAATTCATTTACTTACTAAGGCAGAAAATCATCTAACTTCACATTGATTCGATAAGCAGGTTACAGTAGGCAAGGTATGATAGTCAATATTGTGCTGTTATGATACAGAAACACTAACAAGTTCACTTCTTCTCTTCCCAATTTAACTCTTCACATGACAAGGCACTGCACACTGACACATTCTCCTGACATCTTGTCTGGAGTTATACCGTAACATCTGTCACACTTAGAGATTCTACGACTCCATTTGATTTAATTAGGATCGTAGTTCCACAGATCAGCCTGACACTAGCCAACAAGCATCAGTATACTTAACTTCACTGAGACAATAATTAACTACTAATTAATTTCTGATCACAACAGTTGAAGGATAGGAAGCAGAGGGTGAGGATAAAACCATGTTTTCCCGGTTGGCGGCAGATAATTAATCCAATTCTCTCCCTTGTTTATTGTTGCTGTTCAATGCCCAGATTCTGGATAAAACTCTTCATTGTGGCCACTTGTGTCGAGGCCTTTTCTGTGATCTCCTGCAGCTCCCAGTGTCCTGCCCACTCCCTCCACTTCTCCCACTCAGGTCAATGTGTTTCTCAGCCCCTCTCTCACCATCACTAATCCAGGGGTCAGGCACTGTGTCCCTGTTCTCGAACTCTTCCCATAAACCAGTTTGCTTTGTGTCTTCTCTTCCTGCCCCAATGGCCTCTTGTGTAAAAGGTGCTGTAAGTGCAGTGGGTTATATTGGGTTGTGGGGGAATCCCAGCTTGTCCTCACCCGGCATCAGGAGACACCAGGCTGAAGTCCATCCTATCCCACAGTTACTGAGCGCAATTATAGCCAAACTGCTGTATATTGGTTACGCTGTTCTTTACATCAATTTCTATGGGTTTGTAAACCTTTTCACATGATCGTACCTCAGTCTCCATCATATTAGCCATTTTTCGTACCTGTTCAGCAATTCCTGACTTGGCTCCGTTGCAACAGTTAAGGATATTCTTTATTGCAAAGCAAACATCGTACACAACAACAATTGCTAAGAGAAACTGTAAAACAGCCCTCACTGGGTTTACCCTGTGGGTGGCCTCCATGTCAACAATGAGGGGAAAAGCACATGAGCCACTGCAGAACATCTCAGCTTTACCAGTAGATGTGTCTCTTCCTGATTTCATGAACAATTGGATTCTAGTGTTTAGTTTATTGTAGCAATCCGCCATGGCTCTGCTGTCTGTTTTATATTGTTCTATTGTTTCATTCACTCTTATCACTTTCTCTGTTTGCGAAGCAGTGATACTGCCACGAGCTACAGAGATAACACCAGTCCCGACTGCACCCATTACAACTCCCACAATGGTGAGGCTGAGTGTAAACAGCAACTTCTTTACCAATATCTTCTTGAATGTTGTGCCAATGATTATTGCCACAATCAGTATCACTCCGGCAATACGCAGTATGACGCCCGTAATGGTCAGAGCTGTGTCTGATCTGTGAGGGTTGTCGATGTGGTCCGCAGCCTCTCGCAGTGCTCTCAGGTGTCCTCTCACCTGTTCCCTCCACACAGAGAGCTGTGCTTTAAAGCTCTGCACATCATCAGTCCTGTTTGCCAGCTCAGTGAGGAAGGCTTTCCTGTGAACACAAACACAACCAACTCTCAGCTACTGCCCAGACACAGCACCAGACACAGGGAGCCCAGTGGGGTCAGGGCAGCCTTTCCCACAGAGGAAAGTAGTTAGAGATGTCTGAAGAGAAAGATCATGTGTTCTCTGGAGGGATGATTAATCGTTGACTCTGCCCTCTATAATCGTATTCGGTGATTTCCAGAAAGCAGGGGATTCAGAGAAGTTATAAAGAGCTGGTCACATGATCATTTTATTTTATTTACAGCTTTTATTTCAGTTTCTGGACTTTATTAATATGCTACAATATAATTAGTAAATTAGTAATACTATTTATAAATAATAAATAAGAACAGAGAGACTGGGCTTCATATAAATAAATCTTTGAAGGTGGCAGGACAGGGAGATAAAGCTGTTAAAAAAAAGCATACGGGATACTAGGCTTTATAAATAGGGCATAAAATACAAAAGTCAGAAAGTTATGATTAACATTTATAAAACACTGGTTGGGCCTCAGCTAAAGACTGTGTTCAGTTCTGGGCACCACACTTGAGGAAGGATGTCAAGGCATTGGAGAGGGTGCAAAGGAGATTGACCAGGATGGTACCAGGAATGAGGGACGTCAGTTATGAGGAGAGACTAGAGAAGCTGGGATTATTCTCCTTGGGGCAGAGAAAATTAAGAGGAGACTTAATAGAAGATTTTAAAATGATGAGGGGATTCGATAGGGTGAACAAGGAGTGGGAGTGTGGGCATTATTGACAGGTAGCATTGGTCTCACTCCTGACATCCCCTGCCCTGCAGTTAGGTTACTTATCCTCTTTTTCTTTGCCCAGGGAGCAAAGTGTTCTTGAGCAGAGAGCCCAGCAGCGTGAGGAGGGAACTGAGCGAGAATTGTATTTCCACTGGTGGGTGGGTCAGTAACCTGATGACACCAATTTAAAATTGTTGTTAAAGAAACAGAGGGGAGGTGAGGAGATCCTTTTTCACACAGCAAATCATTCAGATCTGGAATGCATTGCCTATAAGGGCGGTGGAAGCTAATTCGATAACAACTTTTAAGAGAGAAGTAGATAATTATTTGGGGAGAACAAGTGTGTAGGGCTATGGGGATTGGAATTGATTTGGCAGCTCTTTTCAAAGAGGCGGCACAGACACAATGGGCCGAATGGCCTCTTCTCTGCTGTATATTTTTATGATTCTATGAAAATAAATACTCTGCAAACATATAATAACAATCCTTCCATTTGATATACAGCCTTTTCACGTGTTAGAGACTTGCAAAGCACTCCACAGAATATACTGAAAAGTGAATCGACTGTATATTTTATGAGCTGAAAAAAGGGGACAATTGCGTACAGCAGTGTCCTACAAACAGTCGTGGATTGTGTGACCAATTATTACTATTATTTATTTATTTTTGAAAGGATTATTACCTCCGGAAAAGCAATCCGCCAATCAACTGACAACCGTGTTTCTACCTACTGATAGGTAAACAGAGGTGTGTGGAGTAAGGAAACTTACTCAAAGTTTCGCACTGCTTGGGAATTGAATCCAGGTCCTCTCGTTTGCAAGGCAAGTGCTCTAATCAGTAAGCTCCATTATTAATATAGATGCTGTCCGGAGTGGAGGGCACTATATAAATCCAAGTTGTTGTTGTTAATATTCTAAATTATTCTATTAATTTATATGTAACTAGTTGTACGCGTTGCAGTTACGCTTACAATCAAAGAATGTAGATTGATACACAGACAGACACACAGACAGACATTTCATCTTGATCTATACTCATCTGGAAGGTCTCCTGTGGGAAGACTTTGTTCTACAGTTTCATTTAATGTGCCTTCTCTCTTTTGTCTAGCATTTTTGCTTATTCTTGAAAAGTTTGATTTTCACTTAGGCATCTTTATGATGATCAATAGAGATGTATAATTTATAATCACTAGGATATCCTCCCGACGTGAAAGGTGCTTTAAAGATGCAATTTTATTGTTCCTGCTGCTTAGCTTCGTCTGTGTTCTTTGTTTTGTTCCCGCTGCCACTTAGCTCCAAGATACAAAGCCTTTCCTATGAGGTATAAATCATGTCTCGACATCAATTGGTTATTGATATACTTCTTGAAGCGCAGACAGACATTGCCGTTTAATTAGTATAGATTACAATATAACTATCTGTCATTAAACATCTGTCACCTCTCAGCCCAGTTCCCCAATCTAACCATCTCCCTCTTCTGTCCACGTGTCCTGTTATCAGTAACTTAATCCACGTTTAAGCCCCAATTGCAGGTCATTATCGTGCAGTAACCACCAGGGACTCCAACACTGAGCCCTGGGCACCTGCCAGTCACTGGCGACATCTCATTCTACTTCGGGAACCACTGCCCTTTACTTCCTCTGATTCAGGCAACTTCTCATCCACTTTACACGTCCCTCTATCCTGCAGCACTGACAGGTGTTTGGAGCCAGAAACAGACTATTCCCTGCACCCCCCCACCCACCCCGCCATCTCTGAACCTGGATGGGGGGGTGGGGGGAATAGAGATAGAAATAATAATATAATAATACTTGCATTTGATACAGCACTTTTCAGATCTTCTAGATGTCTCAAAACGCTTCAAAGAATATACTGTAAGGTGAATTGACTGTATATTTGTGGGTTGAACTCAGCAACAAATTGCGCACAGCAGTGCTCACAAACAGGCGTGGATTGAAGTGACCAATTTATTATTGTTTTTTCTTGAGGGATTATTATCAGGCGTGTGGAGTAAGGAGACTTGCCCAAGGTTTCGCCCTGACCTGCCGGGAATCAAACCCAGGTCTCTCGCTTGAGAGGCGAGTGTCTAACCTCTGAGCTACAGGACTCCAGTAATCAGATAAAGAGCCAATCAGACAGAGTCGGACGAGAACAAGTAATTCATTCACATCTGTACATACCTGTCCTTAGTGGCGCTGACTGTGTCTGTTAAATAAGGGAGAAACAAGAGCCATTATTACTGGTTATTATCAGATGCTAAATGACCAACTGGTGACAATGCATCTTGGGGGTAGGGTGTGTGTGTCTGGGGTGGGGGAAGCAGGGTCTCGGGGCTGAACAGGCTCCAAGGTGACATGTTTGGGAATGGAATTTAGTCCATCCTATAATAATAATTCTTGCAATTGATACAGAGCCTTATCATGTCTTCGAGACGCCTCAAAGCGCTTCACAGAATATACTGTAAAGGGAATTGACAGTATATTTTTTGGGTGAAATGCCCACACTGTGATGATCTCTCGTCCGGTTCCTGAGCCTGGCAGGTCCACAGTATTCAAGGGCACTGCTGATGACAGCACAGCACAGCCTGGCTGACTGGGAGGATCTGGAAGGGCAGACCATTCACTGGGGGCAGGGACTCTTCACACTCAGATCCTGTTCACCCTGCAAAGCCCTAATGAGTAGGATGGTCCTACCTGAAGAAACAGTGGGAAGCTTCCCACACGGTGCTCTCAATGGCAAACTGCGATTTTAGCTGATTAAACTCCAGCAGTTACCTTAAAACACAGTCTAGAGTCCCAAAGCCTTGGCTCTCACCAGCCTTTGCCTAATTCTCTCCAGTATTAGATAAGCAGTGGGTGTCCATCCAGGGAGAGAGTGTGCATTCCATTCCAGACATGGAAATTTTCACCTATGTGGATATTCAGTTTGGTTGTGAGACTCTTAAGCACAGCAATGGGTTTCCGCGTGTGTCAGACACACTGCTGACCAAAACAAATTGTATATGTATTTATTTATCTATTGAATTTGCGGGGCCATGGGGTAAGGTTGGGGGAGTGGGACTAGTTGGATAGCTCTTTCAAAGAGCTGGCACAGGCACGATGAGCCGAATGGCCTCCTTCTGTGCTGTAAGATTCAATGATTCTATGTGATTTTTTACCAAATATCGAGGTGTAGAATTATAGTCCCAGCTGGCCAAAGGGTTAAGATGGAGCTGGAGAGCAGGCGGGAGGTATAGACAGAGAGGTCCAGAGGTGAGGAGGTGCTGGTGGAGTCTCGCATAATGGTTTCTGCTTTGGTCAGTTACAGAAAGTTGAGGCACATCCAGGATTTGATGTGTCAGGACAGTGAGAGCCGGGAGTCGAGGGCCACATGCAGATACATGTGGAAGTGGAGCTTGCGCCCCTGTGGATGGCATCACTGAGGGAGAAGAGGATTACTGGGGAATAATAATAATATTAGATAATAATTTTGGGAGGACAGGCTTGCAGGCTATGGGGAGAGAGCGGTGGAGTAGGATTCAATTGGAAGCGGTTTTCAAACAGCCGGCACAGAACGATGGGCCGAATGGCCTCCTTCAGTGCTGTATAATTTTATGATTCTGTGATAATAATCCTTGCTTTTGATATAGCACCTTATCACATTGTTCAGATGTCTCAAAGCGCTTCATAGAATATGTTGTAAAGTGAATTGACTCTATATTTTGTAGGTGAATGAGGCAGCCAATTGTGCACAGCAGTGTCCCACAAGCAGTCATGAATTGAGTGACCAAAGAATTATTTTTATTCTTTGAGGGATTATTACCCATGGAAAGCGATCTGCCAATTGACTAATAACCAGGTTCCTACTTACTACTAGATAAACAGAGGGAGTAAGAAAACTTGCGTAAGGTTTCTCCCCGCCCAGGAATTGAACGTGGGTCCTCTTGTTTGTGAGGTGAGTGCTCTATCCAATACACTACAGTACTCCAAATAGGATTTCAGGATAAATCCCTGAGGAACACCGTGGGTGACTGAGAAAGGGAAGCGACTATGACGATGACTGTACCTTCCAGATGTTTATAAACCTCTTCATACGCCATCACTTCATTCTCCATCACTTCAGCCACACCGTGAATATGTTTAGCAACATCTGCCCTGGCTCCACGGTTGAGATAATGCCCATCGTTTACTCTGGAGATCAGAGATGATATGAAAGGCAGCCTTGTCTGAGCTGCTGACCCGGCCCTGGATGTCACTGTCTCCTGTTTGTTCATTGTTTCAGCCACAGCAGCAAATACAGCCAAGTGTTCAGTGAGACTCTCAGCTCCACCAGGAAATGTGGTTTCTGATTTCTTACTATATTGCTTCAAGATCCGAACTGCTCGTGAGAGTTTTGTGTAACACTCTGCCATTTCTCTGCTGTCCTTTGCATATTGTTCCCTGATATCATTAACCCTTTCCTGTCTGTATGTTTGGGTTACAGTGTCCGTGTCACAAGCTGCAGTGTTGTCAGCCCCACCAGCCACACTCTGGCCGACTCCCACTCTCGGGCCAGGTTTGTGAATCGAGTAAATGTCGTCTGCGATCTCTCGTAGGTCTCTGATGTAGCTGATCATCCACACTCTCCACACAGGGAACAAGGTGACAAAATCTTTCACATCCTCCTTCCTCTGTTCAACCTCAGCTTTGTAAGATTTCCTGTTAATATTAGAAACTCAATTAGAAGCCCAGCTCAGAGGAAGGCCCAAGGAACCTGCCTTTTCCCCATTGTCTCCTCCCTCTTCCCCACAAAATATTAAAAGGATACTGGGAAAAGAGCAAACTGGTATGGTTATGGCTTGGATTGAACCCTAATAAAATGAATAACAGCTGTGTTCTTACAGGGTGTCAGAAGAAAACTGAATTGGACAGGAAATAACTACTGTACGCAATTAGAAATGGAGAGTGAAAGAATCAAAATGCATTCTGCATCGAGGGAGTCAATTAAATATCGAGGGGTATGTAAATACCGAGACCATTGACATCACAATTGGCACTGGTTTGAGCGGGATTTCACTAGTACAGCCACAAAGACAACAAATTACTATAGCTTTGAATGTAGCAGAAGAGGAATGAGAATATTTTAAGACTTTGGAAGGAGGTATCAAATGCCATTACAGGATGTGATGAATATTAAGTGGTGCGGTGCTGTGCATAAAACAATGTGAAGATTGAGCAATACAAATTTGTCACCAAAAAACAAGAGCAAGTGGAACTGTTCACACAATATTTTATGGCACAGTACTCCCCATTTTTGTGGGCGAAATGCAGTAGCCAACTGTGCACAGCAGTGTCCCGCAAACAGTCATGGAATGAGTGACCAAATTATTATTGTTGTTTTTTTGAGGGATTATTATCCCCGGTAAAACGATTCACGAATCGACTAACAACTGGGTTCCTACTTACTATAATAATAATAATCCTTGCATTTGATATAGCGCTTTTCATGTCTTCTAGACGTCCCAAAGCGCTTCACAAAATATACTGTAAAGTGAATTGACTGTATATTTGTGGGCGAACGCGGCAGCCAAATGCACACAGCAATGTCCCACAAACAGTCGTAGATTGAAAATGACCAATTTATTATTATTTTTTGTTTTTGGAGGGATTATTATTAGGCTCTGTGTGGAGTAAGGAAACTTGCCCAAGGTTTCGCCCTCTGCCTGGAATTGAACTTAGGTCCCTCGCTTGCAAGGTGTGTGCTCTAACCATTGAGCGACAGGACTACACGTAGAATCATAGAATACAGCACCCTAAGGAGGCCATTCAGCCCATTGTGCCTGTGCCGGCTCTTTGAAAGAGCTACCAACTAGTCCTACTCCCTCACTCTTCCCCCCAAGCCCTGAAAATTTTTAAGTACCTATTCAATTCCCTTTTGAAAATTTCTATCAAATCTGCTTCCACCACCCTTTCAGGCAGTGCATTCTCTGTAATAACTCTCCGGATAAAAATATTTCTCCTGATCTCCCCTCTTGTTCTTTTGTCAATTATCTTAAATCAATGTGCCCTGGTTACTGACCCATAATAATAACAATAATAATAATCCTTGCATTTGATGGAGCAATTTTCACGTCTTCTCGACGTCTCAAAGCGCTTCACAGAATATACTGTAAAATGAATTTGACCGTATATTTGTGGGTGAAATTTGACAGCCAATTGTGCACAGCAGTGTCCCACAAACAGTCGTGGATTGAAAATGTGGATTGTTTTGTTTTGGAGGGATTATTATCAGGCGTGTGGGGTAAGGAAACTTGCCCAGGTTTCGCTCTGTCTGGAATTGAACCCAGGTGTCTCGCTTGCAAGGTGAGTGCTCTAACCACTGAGCTGCAAGACTCCACAATCCATCCACCAAAGGAAACGGTTTCTCCTACTTATCAAAACCCCTCATAATTTTGAACACCGCGATTAAATCTCCTCAGCTGTCACAAAGCACAATTTAAACCAAGCCACGACATTGGTAAAACAAAGAATTCACAATTATTTATTGTGTGTGTTTTTTCTGGGACTCACATGATGGCTTCCGTGGATTCACAGCTGATATCTGTTGTGGCCAAGAAGATTCTTGAAAATGTGATAAGGCGTTATAACAAATGCATTGATTATTATTATCTGTGTACAAAACACTACAGCGAGGGTAAGTCTGCTGACTTGTCTCACTTTGAGGAGTGAGAGACCCTTCCCCGGGAATTCTATGGGACCATAATTTGTCAAAAATTTACAACACAGACAAGCCCGCCTTGTTGTTTAAGCGCACCCGGACACAACTTACTGCATTGAGGGACAACCCTGTACTGGAGGTAAACAACCTGAAGACCGCAGTTCAATTATGGTCACATCCAACACTGAACAGATAAGCTACAGCCTCTCATAATAGAAAAATCAAAATCCCTGTAATGCTTCAAAAACATCAAATATTGTTAGAATTTACACTTTTTGTATAATGTTAGAATCATAATAGATGTTGCGAACGGGTTAACTTTTAAGTTAAGTGTGTTGTGGGCAGCTGGACTGAAACTCCCTGCACGTACACGAGATAACGGACTGTCTCAAGGACAGTGTGTTTGTGTGTGTGAGGCACGTACACCCCATGAGGTGTTCACGTGAACCCGGCATGATTTTGACCAAGTGATCTAATATCCGCACCATGATTGGATGAATATTGGTATAAGAGTTCCGATAACTTTGTGTATGGGTCCGTCCCGGGTCGCGGAGACAAGGATACAGAGATGGAAGACTGAGAGCTGGAAACACTAAGACTGAGGATATCAGATGGAAGATTGAAAGCTGGAAGCAAGAAGACTGAAAGCATGAAGAATGAAGCTTGTGTGCTGTAAAGACACAGTGCTGAACTCTTGAACTTGAGATATCTATAGTGGTGCTTTTCTGTTGTAAGATCTGTTGATTGTATCGGCCTTTGGTCTGACCCATCGGGATATTGGGGAATAACGAACAAATTATAATAAAACAGTCTGATATCTGGTTAGAGGAATTAGCGTTATTTCCTTGCAGATTTGGCTGATTTTATTTTCTAACAATATCTACCGGCAAAAATGAAGCCAAAGCCTGGATAACATCTGATTTTCTCCAAAAAGTGCTGTATGAAGCTCTTATTTTGCAAAACGAAGAGTTCATGGATCTTTTTGTTAATGAGGATGTAAATGAGCAATGTACTGCAGCACGAGCAGATGAAGATATCATCTTCTCAGTAAGGAAGGAACTAGAGTAAGGAAGGAACTAGAAAAAANGGAGGAGGATTGGCAATATTAATCAAGGATACGGTTATAGCCATGGAAAGGGTCGAGGTGCTGGAGGATCCCCAAAACAGAAGCTATCTGGTTAAAGTTAAGGAACAAAAAAGGAGTTGTTACGCTGGTAGGGGTATACTATAGACCACCAAATAGTGGGAAGGAAATAGATGAGCAGATCTGCAAGCAGATCTCAGACAGATGCAAGGCCAATAGAGTTGTGATAATGGGGGACTTTAATTATCCCAACATAGACTGGCAAAACAACAGCGCAAAGGGCAAGGAGAGGGAAAGATTGCTAAAATGCATACAGGATAACTTTCTTGATCAGTATGTTTCCAGCCCAATGAGGAAGGAAGCAGTTCTGGGGAATGAAGTAGGGCAAGTGGAGCAGGTTTCAGTGGGAGAGCATCTGGGCAATAGTGATCACAACATCATTAGATTCAGAGTGCATATGGAAAGGGACAAGGAACAATCAAAGGTGAAGATGTTCAAATGGAAGAGGGTTAATTTCAGTGAGTTAAAAAGAGACCCAGCCAAGGTGGGCTGGAAAGAAAGATTGGCAGGTAAAACAACTAAAGGCAGTGGGAAGTCTTCAAGGATGAGATAGCTCGGGGACAGAACAAATACATCTGTCCCACAAAAGGGAAAAGCAGGCCAATCAAACTCCTGGATGACGAAGGTAATTGATCTAGAATGAAGCAGAAAAAGGAGGCATATGACAAATGTCAAACCCAAGATACAGAAGACAACCAAATAGAATATAAAAATACAGAAGAGAACTGAAAAAGGAAAAAGAGGGGCACAAAAAAAAAAGGTAAGCGGGTAACATTAAAGGAAATCCTAAAATATTTTACAAACATATCAAGAAAAAAAGGTTAGTCAAAGGTAGGGTGAGGCCAATAAGGACCAAGGCGGAAATCTTGTTGTGGAGGCAGAGGGCATAGCTGATGTACTGAATGAGTACTTTGCATCTGTCTTCACAAAAAAACGGATGCACCAAATGCCACAATATCGGAGAGAGGGTAGAGGAAATGGATAGGATAAGTGTAAACAGAGAGGAAGAACTGAAAAGGTTGACTGGGCTCAAGGTAGATAAGTCGCCCGGTCCGGACGGGATGCAGCCAAGGATACTATGGAAGGCACGGATACAAATAACGGAGGCTTTGGCTACAATTTTTCAATCTTCGTTGGACTCAGGGGTGGTGCCAGAGGACTGGAGAGTGGCCAATGTTACTCTTCTGTACAAAAAAGGGCAGAAGGACAAGCGTGGGAACTACAGGCCAGAGACCTAGCCAAGGTGGACTGGAAAGAAAGATTGGCAGGTAAAACAACTAAAGGGCAGTGGGAAGTCATTTGGCATTTGACAAAGTGCCACATAAAAGATTTGTAAGAAAAATAGAAGCCCATGGTATAAAAGGGAGAGTGGCAGCATGGATCCAGAACTGGCTGGGAGACAGAAACCAGAATTGTGGTGAACGGTTGCTTTTCTGACTGGAGGGAAGTGTACAGTGGCGTCCCCCAGGGATCAGTATTGGGACCACTGCTCTTCTTAATATATATATAAATGATCTGGACTTGGGTATAGCAAGTACCATTTCCAAATTTGCGGACAACACAAAGCCCACTGCAGAAAGATATAGACAGAATGGTAAAATGGGTAGACACATGGCAGATGAATTTCAATGTGGAGAAATACGATGTAATGCATTTTGGAAGAAAGAATGAGGGGAGGCAATATAGGCTGGTAATACAATCTTAAGGGGGGTAAAGAACAGAGATATCTGGGGGTTCAGGTAAATGAATCCTTGAAGGTGGCAGGACAGGTAGATAAAGATATAAAAAGGGCATATGGGATACAAGGCTTTATAAATAGCGGCATAGAGTACAAGAGTCAGGAGGTTATGATTAACTTATATAAAACACTGGTTAGGCCTCAATTAGAATACTGCGCCCAGTTCTGGGCAACACACTATAGGAAGGATGTTAAGGCATTGGAAAGGGTGCAGAGGAGATTTACGAGGATGGTACCAGGAATGAGGGACCTTGATTATAAGGAAAGGCTAAAGAGGTTAGGATTATTCTCATTGGAGCAGAGAAGGTTACGAGGAGACCTAATAGAAGTCTTCAAAATCACTGGTAAAACAAGAGAATTCACAATTATTTAGTGTGTGTGTTTTTTTCTGGGATTCACATGATGGCTTCCGTGGATTCACAGCTGATACCTGTAGTGGCCAAGAAGATTCTGATCAGGTGATGTGTGAAGCTCTTATTTTGTAAAATGAAGAGTTCATGGATCTTGTTGTTAATGAGGATGTAAATGGGCAGTGTACTGCAGCACTGGTAGATGAAGATATCATCACTTCAGTAAGGAAAGAACTAGAGGACATACAAGAAGCGGAGTAACCTGAAAACAACGCCATTATGCGGGTGTGAAGAGAGGCATTTAGTGTATGTGAAGGATTGCAGACCTCTGTTGTTCAATCTGAGCCATTGGCACAAATGGCTGAAATTGAAAGGCGGAAGAGGACACTGTGCCAGATAGTTGGTTCGATCTCCTTACCGGCCAGGTACAGTACTTG